ATCTTATGACCTGGGAATATGGTGCTCTGTACTGTCCTGTAGTGTTGACTCCTTGTGTTCACTGGCACATAGCCTCAGATTTATTTATTTTTCATGGCAATCCGTGAGTTTCTGAGGGACGCAAGCCTTAAAACTGAGCTTTAAGGGAATAATGTACCAACAATCTTCAATCTTTGCTTGATCCTTGGGTTTAAACCTTCATGCAGTTTCAGACCATCATTCTGAATTTGGGCCTTACACAGCACACACAAGATTCCAGTGCATAAATGACCATCTTATCTATTCCGCCTATGTGCAGAGTTGTGACTAAAGACTCCCGACAGTTATCTCTGCCTGTCCCCGTCGCCTTAGGACTTTTGAAGATATTAGGGTTTGATGATGATGAAAAGTATGATGAGGCAGAAGTGGAAGCTGCAACCAAACATCTTGGCTCTCCCTTTTCCTGATCCAGTGATGCAGCAAGCTGCAATGACTGGGGAGAGGGAGAGTTGCAATGGACTGCCGATAGCCCAGTTTGTTGGGATTTGCCTTAGTAGCCTGTCCATCCTACAATGCCTTCATCTGCCAGTCAAGCCGTTGGGTTCCCATGTTGGTCACTTCTTCTGCCTATTCTGCCATTGGGGTCTTACTGGAGCTCTGTAAGCATGTCTATCTGATGTGGGGCTCCACCGCAGACTTTTCATTTGGGGCTTACCAGGTACTCCCATAGCCTTATAGCTACCAAGGTTAATCCGCACGGCAGCAGGGCAGTGGGTGGTAGGCACTTGGGCGTGTCCACATGCCAGTGGGCCTATGCACTGTCTCTGGGGCTCAAAGCTGCTCCGAGATCCCCTGCTGGTTTAGCCTGGGACTGCAAGGCACCCAGTTATCGTGTGTTGCCATGAGGAGGCACAGCAGGAGTCTTGATTGTGAAGAGGGTGTGTACTGGCAGGGGAAGACTTATGCAGGGTTGCTTCCCTGTTTACCACAAGGGCTAGCCAGCGATTGTAGCTGAAAGCGAGAGGAAGCAAACAGTACTTGCAAAAAAAACACACACACACACACACACACACACACACACACACACACACACACACACACACACACACACACACACACACACACACACACCATCAGTGAGACAAGACGTGCCCTGAAGACGCTCTGGGTTTTGGCAGCCAGGCTGAGTCTGTTTGGCCCTGCTCCCCCCCTTGCCCCTGCTATATCCCAATGCCCTACCAGCCTTACTACACCGGGATTTATTCATCAAAACATTCAAGTGATCAGTGCAATGATTGATTACCAAACAGTGTTCTGATAGTGCATCCCAAGGAAAAGCACAGAAACAAAGCAGTGTATTACCAGACAGTGGGCACTTTGTTGGGCACCTTCAAAGTGCCAGTGACAAGGACCACCGCAGTGTTTACATTTATCGTGGATACTGTGTCAGCGGCTCTAAGCGCCAGAGACAAGGAATCACAGTGTTTACGACTGACAAATATTAGCAGATGTCAACCAGTGTCAGTGGCCCTCAAAGTGCCGCCAGTGAGTTTATGGCCACCAGGGACAAACACTTCCGTCCATTCACAACAACAGATATCACTTACTCCCGACGCTCTCTGTACCTTCTAAAGCGTGGGAACGGTTATCCTGATGGCAGTGTTATCTTGAGACTCAAGTCACTAAACATATTCCATGCGCGCAGCCGTAGACAGGGACGTCATAAACAAAAGTCCATTAGGACCGTAACCTCCACTAGGAAACCAGACAAACCCACCCCTGACAGACTGTACCATTACACTGAAGTTCCACGGATATGGTATGATCTCCCGTCTCTACTGCTCTCCAACGTCACTTCCCTAGCTAACAAGTTTGACGAGCTGGCAACCACAGTCAGGTCAGCCGCCTGAAACGGGTCATATTGAGGGATATCAACTCTTTCATCACCTACGCCCATCATGCCTGGATGTTCAAGTCCCAGCAGATGTGGAAGCATTATGGGTATGTGTTGTGCCACGGGCCCAACTGAGCCACACTGCTTCTATCATAATCTGTGTGTATACCTTCTGCCTCGCTCACCCACCAGAAACACTCTTATCAATGATCTCATTACCACCTCAGACCACCTAAGAGTTAGGTACCCATGTGCCAAGTTAGTAGTATGAGGGGATTATACTGAAAATGACACCACTGATATCCAGGACCAGCTGTCACTATCACAAGTTGTGAACTTCCCCACACACGGTCAAAATACCCTTGCCCTTATCTTAACCGACTTAGCGGACAAGTACCAACCACCTCAACCAATGCCTCCTATCGGGTGTAGCACGTACCTATCAGTGCTCTGGTCCCCAGCTGCCACTCCTACTCAAATACAGAGACCCTACATCAAGACCTACAGGCCGATTACTGACTGCAGTGCGTCTCTTCGGGCAGTGGATAGTTCACCATCCCTGGACTGAAGTACTTAGTGTGGATGACGTGGATACCAAATGGATAAATTATACCAACACCACCACGAAAGTTCACCATCATTTCTTCCCCAAGAAGTCCGTCAGATCTCACCTAGCTGATTTGCCCTGGATCACACCTCAGATCAAAAGATTTATGCAACAGAGAGACAGACCCTTTTATCTCAATGACCACAACCGCTACAGGTCCCTTTACAACCGAGTCATCCGCAAAATACGCACTGCAAAGAAGTCTCACTACCTAACCAAATTGCAACACCTGAAGCAGACCAACATCAGTCAGTGGTATGGTAAGCTTAAAGAACTCTGTTGACTAAACAATGAGACACACCCCTTCCCCTTCCTTAGCCATCTCACTAATTGACGCAGCTGAGCAATAAAATAACCATTTCGCTACTATATGCCAGACGCTCCCCTGGCTTGACACAACCACTCTCCCTGCTTACCTACCAGCCCCCCTTCCCACTGACTTAGTAGAAGAATTTGAAGTAGCAAAAAGTCTGGACAAACTGAAGTTAAAATGCTCCACCACTGCCATTGACTTACCAATGAAACTCTTCAAGGAGTTCTCCCTGAAGCTTGCTAAACCCCTCTGCTCCATCATTAATGCTTCTCTCAGTCAAGCCAGATGCCCAGCTGATTGGAAGACTCCGATGTGTGTCACCAGTGCCCAAGTCAACCAGCCCATAATCCTTAAATCAGCTACAACCCATTGCAATCACCCCAATACCCAGCTTAATTTGTGAAAATTTTGTGTTTGACTGGGCTTATGCTGATATTGCAGGAACCGTAGATCCTCAGCAATTTGGTAATATGAAAACTTCCTCCACCACTCACTGTCTTGTCAGCTTTCTCAACTACATATATTGTACTGCCATCTGGAGAAACGAAAAACTTATGTAGCTGTCGCCTTCATTGACTTCACTAAGGCATTCGACCTAGTCGACCACAATTTAATCATCAACAAAGCTATCGACCTCGGGTTTCAAAGAAGTCTTATACCATGGCTTACAGACTTCCTCAGTAACCGACGCCAAGCTGTACGCTTCCGAGGGGCTGCTGTCTCCACCTTTCTGTCACTTACCGTAACCGATAATGAAAACTGCATTTACGGATTTCAGTAGTTTAGACTCAAGGAAAACATCCCCAGCACCCATAAACTTTCTGGGGAAGCGGGCTAGTGTCTGTCTGTGCAAGATGTCTTATTTAGACATTCGGAAACTTTTCCCAGTAACCGGAAAAGGTTCTGGGGCCAAGGAATTTTTCCGGGTTTGAGAAAGTCATCTTGTTACCCGGAAATCTTTCATCCCTGGAAGTACTCTGCACCAATTGTTCCGGCTAACGGAGATATCACTTTGTAGTAATATCTCCATAAGCCAGAATCCCTTTTAACCGGAACTCTCCGGTAGCTGGAATTTAAATTTTCTTGGAATTTTCCAGAAAATTCCGAGTTTGGAAACGATTTTCTGAGGGGCTCATTTTGTGGAAAATTCTGAGAAAATTTTCTGGTGCCCAGAAAATTACATGGATGGGTGATTTTTTCCCCGGGTTTGAGAGATGAAAAACAGGCTTATTTTCTGGAAATTCAAAAAAAACATTTTTCCGGTACCCAGAAAATTTGAAAAATTTTAGAGATGGGGGAATTTTTCTGGGTTTGAGAGATGAAATAATGTGTCATTCTGGAAAATTCTGAACAAATTTCGGAACCTGGAAAAATTCTGGGAATGGGGAATTGTTTTCAGGGTTTGAGAGATGATGTAATGCGCAATTTCCAGAAATTCTGAAAATTTTCCCTGTACCTGGAAAATTATGGGGATGAGGGATTTTTCTTTGGCTTTGAGAGAGTCGTCTTATTAGCCGGGAATCTCTCATTCCTGGAAGTGTTCTGCACCAATTGTTCTGGCTAATGGGTATATCACTGTACTGTACTTGAGAGCAATATTTATGGATGGAGAGAATAAAGAACATGAAATAATTAGGAGTTATGGAAGTGAAAGAAGTATTAAGCAGTTAAGAATTGGCTCTTATGGTATGAATACAGTATATTGAAAGAATGAAAATTGAAAGATTGATAAAGTGTAATGAACAAGTCAAAGACAGATGATACAGGGGTGGGGGGAAAACCAAGGGAATGAAAGGATAAGGTGAAGGATGCACTAGAAATGAAGAGTTAGTCATACAGGAAACAGCAACATGCTCAAATGAACGAATAGTATGTTGTTTAGGAATTTTGGGGGATGGTGTGCTACTGTTGGGTAATGCAAGGATGTGTGAAACAACAAGAGTGAACCTGATGATATTTGGACCCTGGCTGTGAAAGAGGAATACTATAACAGACCAACAGTAATAATGAATGAATGACACTAAATGGAGTGAGAGACTATGTGTTTCGTCTTCATTCCAGCCACCTTACTTATGAGTGAGAAAAAGTTTGAAAGGCTGAAAAACAAGTGCTAAATACTTGAGAGAAATATTGATATGAATTTAAGTTTTATGACAATCCTCAGTCACTAAATATCATAATTAATCATTGTATTTTTTTATTATCAGGTGACAGCTTTAGATAAGGAGAAACACAGCCTTTGTCGTGAAGGGGACATTCAGGATGTTTCCAGTCTCACAAGTCCGCCCTGCAGTCCAAGACTGACTCTTTTCACAAACAGCAGTCAAGTCTTTTGAAAATCATCGACACCCAGCCTTCTATGGTGCTCTTCACTGGCTATAAGATGTCATGTCCATTATCATTCATTATTTCATATGAACATTATCCATGTATCAAACCTCAGTGAAACCGTTACAAGGTGTATCACTTATTTATTTTTACACATAAATGAATGCTTTATAATTTTATTATAAAAGTATTGACAGTTAGATTCTAATGCTTATTTTGATAGAAGACTCTTAAAAACTTAGTATATGCAGATACTCAACATCCAGGTAACTGGTTTCATTCCATCACACACTACACTCACTTTAGTAATACTATACTGTATACAGTACAGATATATTTGAGGGCTCTGTCAATAATTACCATATTTTGCAGTGTGTGCATGCATATGTGTGTGTGTGTGTGTGTGTGTGTGTGTGTGTGTGTGTGTGTGTGTGTGTGTGTGTGTGCACATAATCATGTGTTTGCATGTGGGGTATGTTTGTGAAATACCCAGTACAGGTACCGTACTTGTGTGTGAGGGATTGATGCCTGTGTAAGTACAGTGTATACACAGTGTAGTACACTGTACTGTATATGTTTGTGTGTAACTGAATTGTAGGTATGTGCATGTATATATGTGACATGTTTGGATTATGTGTGTACATAACTACATGTGATGTGATCAAATCCTTCACATGGAAATGAGATCAAAAGAAGGGTATGTATGTGTGTTATGGCAGTGAGCTTATTGAATGTTTTTCTTTCTTGCCAGAACTGATTCAGCTGCTCAAGTAATATTCAGATGATGATAATAATTTTAGTTTTGTAATGGATAGTAATACTTCAATATTTTGTAGTAAATATTTCTGCACCAGTAATCATTGATTTTGCCAAATTAAGAAAAAAGTTTTAATATACTGTAACTCATCAAGGTAGTAATGATGAAAACATAGTTTTATAACTATCAAGAAAAGTATGTGTACTTGTAAAACAGGTGGTAGTCCCCCCCCCCCACACACACACACACACACACAGTGTCGTAGTTAGGGTAGGGCAAGAGGGGCAGCTGCCCAGGGCACGGTTGGTTGTGGGGCACACTCTGAAAGCTAAGGACAGTTCTTCTTCATGTCTCAACGTGTGACTGAACTTTTGGCATTCTACTTCTTGGATAAAATTTTTCAGTCTTATGATAGTTAGGTTTTTATGTTATGGCATTTGCAAATTACACTTATTGACTTTGTATTTTTTCTGATTTTATTTATATTAGTGTTTACATATTGTTTTTTCTTCTAATTATTAATATATTTAGACAAACTCGGCTGACAATTCGTGATGTCGACTTTTGTGAACATAATCAGAGCAGCAGACGTCCACTGGCTGAAGTGTCTTTTGAACGTGGGTGTGTGAGGTTTGCTCTTTTGACACGTGTGGACAATGTGGCTTAATGCAAATCTTTATGTTGTATTTCATAAACTAAAGCCAGTGAAATGATCAAGATTGATACAAAATAAATTAAGAATAAAACACTTAATAAATATTTGCCATATTTGTTTTGATATTTGTTGTTTGAAAGTTTAACAGAAAGAGAACATAAAGCATTTGGGTGTTTAACTAAAATTTGCAGTGCTTTTTATTCATATCTTGTCAAAACTCGTCAAAATCAATGAAATTGTTTGAAAAAAAGATAAGAGACCAAGAAATATTGAAATATGTTAGTATCAGTGGTCATTACAAATGAGAATATTTATTGACCTAGTCATATTTTTTTTTAATCATTTGCATTTGAAACATCTTAAGTTTATTGTTTTTACTGTTCACCTTTACTTTATCAAATAGATACTGAAATTGCTGTAGGTACAGGTATACCCCAATAACTGACATACTGTATATAGGGACTTGAAAAGTCATTGGTCAGGGAATCAACAGTTATCAAAGCATTTAATCCCATAAGAATCAAACAAATTCAGGGGGTTAGGGACTGGCCACCCCTCCAAAAACCCCCATTTACCCTTGATATATCTCTGTCATGCACATACTTTCTAGCAAGAAAATAAAGCAGACATGGTAAATGTAAACAAGTGCAGAGAGGTAGGAATGGGTTGGAGGCAGCTTGCAGAGCCTTCTCGTGGCAAGAATTTGCACCACACCACAGCCTGCGAAAGTCAAAAAAATTTTGTCACTCCTCCCCGGATCATCAAATCTCTTGGGTATCAACAAAACTTTTGAGGTATATCCCCTATATGTAATCGGCGGTTAATTGGACGTCGGTTTTTTGGGGTATACCTGTACTCCAGAAATTGTGTGAAGATAAAAAAATTTTTTTATTCTTGTTTGGCTAGCTGATACATCATCAATCATTGTTGTACAAATTTCAACGTCTTTTGAAAATTTTGTATGGCTTGTTTGTGTTTGTGGCCAAATTGTTAGCAATCATGTTTGCTTTTAAAATCTTGAGACCTTTTTGGGTTAGTGGCCAAACAATTATGGCTGAAGTTACTGTAGGCTCATATAGCTTCCCTTTGCTATTGTCTCCGGTATATATATATATATATTTCTCTTAAACCAAGAAAAAAGAAGGGGAGCACCTTTTGTGAAATTTTCCCAAGCGCAAAAATGCCTGGCTACAGTTCTGTATGTGTGTGTGTGTGTGTGTGTGTATATACTAGCATAGAAAGGTCACACTCTCTAGTATTTTTATGTACTAGTGAAGTAAATATGATTTCTTTATTTGTAATGATAATACAGTTTTAATAAAAGATCAAGCAAATTCTAACTGCACAGAATAATTGAACTCTGAAACAGACATTCTCCATCCCTCTGTGATAGTTGATAAAATTTTCCTTGAGGATTGAGAGAAAACTTCGTCATGAAGTTTAAATTTATTCTTTGGATCCAAGCAGTTTCTCAGTGATATGTGCATTGGAAACAAACTACCATTCTAGATGTTCCTCTGAGCTGTGCTGGGTGCCTGAAGCATCTCCTAACTTTTGCCAGAAAGCAGTAGATTTTAGCTTTATTTCTGGTGTACTTATTAACAAGAAATTGGCCCATACTAAATATAGTAAAGAGATCCAGATTTCAAGAATGATCCAGAATTGATAGATTAATGTACAGTATAATGAACGTGATAATTATGCTGATCTGTTTGCAAAGGTGGGCACGCGCAAATTTTTTTTTTGCTCCGCAACCGCAACCATTTTCAAAAAGTTTTGCCGCAAGCGCAACTGCAACGCACGATTTAAAAAAAATAAAATAAACAAGTACTAAAATACATTTTTTTGCCTATTTTCAAGCAAAACAAAATATAATTGATACAAAAAAGTTAATATTATCAATATTTTATGACAAAATTACAAAAAAATGCCTCACTGCCACTGGCCTCAGTCTCAGTGGAGTGGCTGTCAACAGTTTTAGTCACTTCAATTTCCATGTCCATGTCCTGGTCTGCAGTGGCAGGGTCACTGCTGCCAGCCACAGACTCCTCCTCCTTCCTCCTCGTCACAAAACGATCTGTGATACTAGTAATAATAAGAAACAAAACAACAAGAAACTGACGCCTTAACTGCAGTGCTACTGACTGCCTGACTGGTTATGATATGAATCATTCCTCCCTCCCCTTCCCTCGCTGTAATTGCCAGATTTCATCTTTCACATTAACTCTAGTTTCTAGAGTTTATGTGAAAGGTGAAATTTGGCAACTTGAAGAACAGCAGTCTCATCTGGCTTACAGTTCAGAAATATGCTGCCCGACCTGTATCATGTGTATGCTGAATCATTCTGTCAGAAACAGAAATTTTCATAATGCGCGGCTCTAGGGATGCCCGTTTGTTTATGCGGTCATATTCCAATTTTCAATTATTGCCGAAAAATTTTGTGTGTTGTACAGGTTGTACCTCTCTAGTCCGGCATTCTGTGGTCCGGAAACTCCCGTGGTCCGGAACGATTTTAGTTTGTCCAATAGGTAGATAGGCAGCTTTTTTTTTTTTTTACTTATCTGAATTATTATTATTATTACAGGAGTATTAAATTTTTGCCCCTCAGGCCCCAATGTGGGTCAGTGACCTATGCCCGGGTGGGCTAATCCCCTTAAAAAAAAAAAGCCGCGGGAAATTAAGGTTTGTTTACATCCGGCAGTTCGGCTGCTCTCTCTCTCTCTCTCTGCTTGTCTATACAGAGTACAACATTTAACCCTTCAATATATATGAGCAGTAAATAAGTGTTGCTTTCATATTCTTATGTAGAGTAATGACGATATATTTTCACATGTGCGCACTTACATACGAGCAGTCTCACTTTTTTTTTTACCATTAATGGTTAGCTACTTATATTGTTCCATTTATTAACATTAAATAACATTACAGGTACTTCAAGCAACCATATTCATTTTTTACATTAATTTTACTACAGCTAAACTCAGGGTCTTATTTTCTTCAGTTTTATATGTAGAACCAATCAGTCACTGGTTTCGTAAGCTTTAACATAAACAATGCCGGCAGCGGTCTCGTCTCCTCTAATATTCCACGTATTATTAATAAATTGTATTGTTAATTTTGCACACACGTACATTAATTCAATAAAAACAAATTCAGAAACATTAATTAAAATATATATGAACAGTAAATAAGTGTTGCTTTCATATTCTTATGTAAAGTAATGACGATATGTTTTCACGTGTGCGCATGCGCACTTACATATGCGATCTCTCTTTTTCTTTACCATTATCGTTAGCTACTTCTATTGTTCCATTTATTAACATTAAATAACATTACTTAAAACAACCATATTAATTTTACTACAGCTACAACCAAGGTCTTATTTTCTTCAGTTTTATATGTAGAACCAGTCAGTCACTGGTTTTGTAATCAACGAAAACAATGCTGTGTCATTTCCTCATGTGTTTTAATTTTCTACGTATTATTAATGAATTGTATTGCTCATTTTGCACATATAAACATTAATTCAATAAAAAAGACATTCAGTAATAAACAATAATGAATCTTTTGTACATAAGAGAAATGACGCTGTTTACACGATTATGCATGTCGTCTGCACTTTGGCAGGCCGTTCAAACCCGTCGAAATTCAAGTTTCCGCCGTCAAAATTTTTATTTATTTATTTTTTTGTGTGTTCCAATAAAATTCGTTAGGAATTAAAAACTCGCGAAATTTGAGAAGCTACTATACGACATTTAACCCTTCAATATGTCTTCAAAGAGACCATGACGCGGAGAAAGTGGTGCTAGTGCTTCCAGGCATAAGCACAAGTCACTATCTATCCAGGAAAAGGGTGAATTTCCATGGTCCGGCAATTTCCATGGTCCGGCACCGGCCAGGTCCCGAGGTTGCCGGACTAGAGAGGTACAACCTGTACTTGAAAATGCTTGTAAAAGTTGTGCTGCAAACAGTTCCTCAACTCTGGAAAAATGTGCGGTGCAAGTGCACGCTCAACCAAAAAAGTTGCGCCACAACTTTTTGTGGCGCAATTACCCACCTTTGGTCTCTGGTAGTGATAACACCTTTCCGTGATCTTCTGTGCTGCTCTTACTTTGTAGTTAATTCAACCTTCGGTGACGTTTTGCATCATCGCTGACATATGAGCAAACATCTGTTGCATCTGTTGGTATTGCTCACATAATTGCCCTTCAATCCTTTTGTCTGGTGGTTCCTTTCTCTTCTCGGTAGACAGGTTTATCTTGCGCTGCCTTGGCGGGGTGGGTGAGACGTCGGTTTCTACGTCGACAGTGTATCCTTGTTCCACACGGGACACGCTCCTTACTTCTGACTTACCTTCCATGTCCATGACTGCCAGAACAGCGAGCGTGATCTGTCTTGCTCGATAAATGTATGCAGTAACGCTTAGAGTCAGCTACTACTTATGGTAACGTCCCACGATCACTGAACTTACGCAAGTGGAGGTGATGTCACACTGACGCGTGCCATACGCATGAGTGACGTCACAGACAGTGCCATACACACGAGTGACGTCACAAGCGCATGCCATACGCACGAGTGATGTCACACTAACACGACCACATAGACCCAACAATTAATGTAGGGACTCATTACACAACTGATGTCACAAACACTGCTGCGGCACCCTTACTTACACAACGTTACTTAGCTGTCACATACCTTTATTATTTTCTAACAGAAAGGGCACTTCACTTGTTTTTATTTCTTATTTACACACACACACACACACACACACACACACACACACACACACACACACACACACACACACACACACACCAGCCTTCTTAAACTTGGCAATCTAATCTGGCTGTACGCCTTGATCACAATCTCTCTCGCATGTCCGCACGAATGTTATTGACACTGAGGCTGCTCCTATTTGACATGGATACTCGCTGCCTGTCCGTAATGAACGGTAATACTCCTGCGCGCTTGTCGGAACAATTTTGGCACTGAGGCCAGTCTTTTCTGACACCAGTTCTCGCCGTTCCCGGTGGGGCTATCTTCAATGAACACAAACACTCTCGCATGATTTGCCGAACAATATTGACACGAAGTCCAGTCTTTTCTGACATAGGTCCTCTTCCTACCGCTCCCTGCGATGATGTGATCCTCGGCAGCTTCCACTATGGTCCTATCCCACGTTTTGACTGTAATCGTTCATAGGAGCAATTTTGGCTTGTGCAGGACAATAAGACCCTTGTCGTTGATTCGATGAGTATAACTCGGTCAAAACCTGTTGAATACAATTCACATATAACAACTGCTGATACATCAGGGCACAGTTTGTATAATATGATCAATATACAGTAAATAATTACACTTATTAAAGTTATTTAGAGCTCTCACAATCACACTTACGTTTTCAGGTCTAGAGTTAGACCAATGAGAACAAATATAATGTCCTGCAGCAAGATGTTGCCTCTACAGAAGAAGGGGATAGTTTGCCCCTCAGGCGGTCACACAGCTGCTACCACACCATTGGGAATTAACAAACAAACACATCCAGAGTGAGGGTGACGACTGCTGTTGTGATGTGTTGCCAGTTTAGTGCTTTGTTTTATAATATATTAAGTATAGGTTTTATTGCATTGTAGGGACGAGTGAAAAAAAGACCAACCAATATCACCATTTATAGGGGATCTATATCCTATAATACTTTACTTTACTTTCTCTCTCTGTCCCACTACTGTACTCTCTGACTTGTGGTAGCATGGATTGAGGGTAAGACACTTGGAACTGTATTAATGGTACTGTAGTGGATACTCTCTCCTACAACTGCCACTGCCGTTAGTTGCTGATCAGCCAATCCCGCGACGAAGTTTCTCTGAGAAGCCTAGCTGTCTAGACTCGCGGGGGGTCGGCCACCAGCGACGCTTACTTCTGGTGGATGTGTATATAAGCTCACAGCCTCGCCGTGAAAGGCATTCTACTCAGCGCTCTCAAACAGACAAGACCTCCTCTCAACAAGCTCCTCACCTCACAGCAACTCCCTAGCACTGCATTGTATATAATATATATACAGTATACTATAGAAAATGCCATAGCTGAGTTTCCTTTCTCACCCCCATCCTAGTGCGATTCAACATCAAGTTAACCCCACAGTACTAAGATATGGGACGAAAATAAAGGTGGTCACTGTAGGAAAATAATGCCCCTAAAATAAATAAAAATGTTTTATTACAAAAGCTAGACTTCTGACTACTTCCAGTACACACAACTACCATGAGTAACACTCATGTACTTCTCAACAAGGTACAGTACATCTCTCGCAGTCACCATCACTTCGCGTATCTCTTAA